GGAAGGGGGAGAGAGGCATATCACTCACCAGTCCCATGAGAAGGGGGCACAGAATGGTCTGCAGAAGACTGATGAGCAAAGGTTTGGGAGAGAGGGATATGTCCCCACTACTTCCCAATAATGCGGACAAGGTGAATGGTACCTGCACAAAATTTCAAGCAGGGGCATACTGTTTATGCTCCCGAAATACAAAGTTGGACAAATCTGGAAACTTCAGGGGGACCAAAAAAAAAAAAAAAAACAGGAATGACATGAATTACCGGGATCACTAGACAAGCTCAGACATGCACATTCAGCCTTTATTTATTTATTTATTTCATTTATAAATTTTATTTATATTATTTTAAAAACTGTTTGGCTTTTGAATTGGTCAGCAGAAAATAGAGGCTGCTCAAAATGATCTTGATGTGTCACCTTCATCCTGATGGCACATGTGATCTGCTTTTGCTGTCTCTTATACACATCTAGATGTGTATAAGAGACAGCAACAACAACAATTAATGGGACCTTGTCTGAATGCTCAATCTTCAAGGATGAAGCTGAGTTGCATTGCACACATGCTGGCACACACCCTGTTGAACAACCACAATGATCATCTTCGATCGTACCTTTTCACCAAATTGCACGTGTCTGCATGCATGCATGCATACACACAAACATTAACATTTTTTTGCATGCATGCATGCGCATGTGTGTGCACATGCATGCATGCATGCATGCATAGTATTTGCAGACATAAATAAATGTGCAAGGATGCATGCATACATAAATGTGCACACATGCATGCATACATAAATGTGCAAGCATGCATGCATACATAAATGTGCAAGCATGCATGCATGCACACATAAACGTGCATCTATTCATAAAGACATACATGTGCATGCATGCGCGTGTGTGTGTGCATGCACGCACATATGCATGGATGTGCATGTGCATGCCCATGCATAGATGCTGAGAAACTGGAAGTTATTTCAACGTGGGTCCTGCGTTGAAAACGTCGGGAAACTGCGTTGAGCCCCCCGTTTATCGCGGTTTACCGCGACCCAGGAATTATTTTTTTTTCGTGGGAAAAACATGAGCAAAAAAAACACGGTAACCATCCGGACGTCCGGACCAGGTTCCAGACAGTCTGGTGTCCGGTGTCTGGCCCTGATGTCAGGATGGAGGCCCATGGGGAGAAAAAAAAAAAAAAAAAAGGGGGCGGCCCAGGATGTTTATCGGGTCCTGGCCGCCCCTCGAAAAATAACAGGATGATTTTCAGTGTCATTTCACCCCACCGGACAGGGCCTAGAGGTCCGGACACAAGACACTGCAGGTTTCTGGGGTGGCGAGTTTCACACAGGCCCGAGCAATTTCAAGGCGCCCGCCGCTGCTGCCCGTTGGAGAGAGAGAGAGAGAGAGAGAGAGAGAGAGAGAGAGA